TATTTGTATTTACTTTATTTTGTTAAATTGTAATTTTTTATTGTTTCTCATTTAATACTTAATTTATTTTTGTTAAATTTGTTGGACTTTTTTTTAATGTATTTTAGTTAATTTTGTTTATTACCATTTAATATCAGTTATTGTAATTTGGTTATCATTTACCATTTAATACTTATTGTAAGTTTGTTGTATTTAAAATTATATTCAAATACCAATTTGGTTATCATTAACTTGAACTAAATGCAAATTAAAGTACAAGAATTATTATTTGATAAATAAATACATAATTTCCTCATAAATTGTTACTTGGTGATAACATAAGTGGACATGTTTTTCTCGTGTGTCCTGGGTTTCTACAATGCCCACATCTTTTGTATTGTCTAGATATTTCTCGAATATCCATATCGCAATGAATTCGATTGGATTTTGGACGACCACACTCCCTCAAAAAACTCGGATTTGGTACAATCGAAAGCCAATTTTGAACCTCATCAGGGTCTTTTTCATTACCTATGGGGGGAAACTCAAATTCACGTACCTTAAAAACTTCATATAGTAGGTATACGAGATCCACAAAATGATTATAGTATTGACGTGTGTGCGAGCAAGCTGGTATCACATGAGAGCATGTATACGTCAGAGCTTGAAAAAACCCGCAGTCGCACGTTTTGTCCCTTAGATTTACTCTTAACGACACATCTTCAATCCCTTGAAGAGGTCGCGGCAACTCTGTGACACGAAACATTTCATACCTTTTAGAGAAGCTTGTTATAGACATTCAATTTGATGCATCAATTTTTTCTGTAGATCTGCAACTAATCTAGGGTGATAGACATGACCGCCTTGCATCCAGGTCTGAGCATGTTCCCCGAGCTTCGCCAAAAGCGCCCCCAAACAAAAATATGTAGTTTTTACCAAAGCCGCTACAGGTAAGTGACGTGCATCCTTTAAGGTTGAATTGATTGCCTCAGCCATGTTGGTCGTCATGTGTCCATATCGATATCCACCATCATATGCGTTCGTCCACATTTCTTTATCGATGAGGCTGATGTAATCGTATCCTTCCTCGTTCTTCGCCCGCAAATCTTGAAGCATTGATTCAAACGTTCGAGGAAGTAGTTCGTAACCTGATCAAAAAATGTATAACTTACTAACTTGCTTTCTTTGCAAAATTAAAATGATCAAAAAAATGTATAAATTACTAACTTGCTTTCACTTACCCATGCGCACAATTAATTGACGCTCATCATTCTTCTTGTACCTTCCATGATAGTTCGCAGCAATGTGTCGGAGACAATACCTATGTTGGACAAAGGGTGGTTGCCACATTGGACCCAAAGACTCCATTGCTGCTTTGATCCCAGCTCCGCGATCTGAAATGACACAGATGTTTTCCCTCGTGATAACATGTGCACGTAAATTTCGGAGGAAAAAAGCCCAAGAATCTGTATCTTCTCATTCGACAAGAGAAAAAACAACTGGAAGAATGTTGCGATTGCCATATTGGACAACTGCCAATAATAAAACTTGCTTGTATTTTCCATACAAGAAAGTCCCGTCGATCTGGACCACAGGCTTGCAGTATTTGGCAGCATTAACGCACTGTGGGTAACTCCAAAAAACCCGGTAGAATTGGCTTCGATCGCGAAGAACTCGATCATTATGGTATGCATAGGAGGTTTTGAAGTCCACAATTATCCTAGGATTCAACGTCTGCACCAGCCTAAACCAACCTGTAAGTTCGTTGTAAGATGCATCTCATTCGCCATGAAGTTTGATAATGGCATTTTGTTTTGCCAACCAAGCTTTTTTATAGGAGACATTGTACCCATATTGCGATTGCATAGCTGAAATCAACACTGCAACAGATATATGAGAGCTTGCTTTTACCATTGGCATGATGGTTTGGCATATCATTTCAGAGTCCAAATTGGGATGATCTTGGTTGACCCCTCCAGCACAACATGTGTGAGGACCATTGTATACTGTTAGTTCCCATATGTTGTTTTTTCTCTTCATTTTTGATACGCGGACCATCCAATTGCATTCGTTTTCGCGTCAGGCACAGTAGCATACATATTTTTCGGTCGTCGATCGGTTGACTCTGGACTGAACAGAATTACGAATATTGTAATTTTTTATAGCCATCATTGCTTCTTCTTTGCTTGAAAACTCCATGTCTAAAGATAACTCACCATTATTTATTGATGAGTAATATCCATAATCACCGAAATGAGGTATATCCGTAAATTCTGGCCCGTACATTACACCATAATCAGCTTCATACATGTGTGCAGGAGGGTCAGTTTGTGTCACATTTCCTGGAACTTCATCTACATCATCATCATCGGAGTTGAATTGCGGTGATTCTGGGTGAATGAATAGTACAGTCTCAGCACCATCCGCACCAGGCTCACGAAGCGGTTCTTCTGGTGGAGATGATGGTTCCTCCATGCGCTCCACATTTAGGTCGAATAACCTACTACTTGCATGTATTCCCCTTCAACTAGAAGGCATATCGACATTAAGATCGAAAAAGCTCGCAGTCGAATGCCTCCCCCTGGAGCTTGAAGCCATCGTGTCAAATGGAAAATGCACAGATTGTTGCGTCGATGACATCTCCATATTAAGGTCAAAGAAATTTGCAGATGATTGTCTTCCCCTTGAACTGGACGCGGTGTTGCCATACGGATTGTTCGTAGACCCACCTCAGTACATATCGTAAGGAGTTACGGATGAATGTCTCCCCATTATGGCATTAAAATCATTACACATTATTGTAGTCGGTCTGTCAACTTGATCAACTTGTTCAACCAGCCCATAGTGGGAGTTTAATGATTGACCCCGAACAATACGCACTTGAACAAAATGTGCATACATCTCAATCGCGGCGTCTGAATAATTACTTTGAGCTTCAACCATCATTTGAACATCATCATTGTTCGAAAGTTCGAACGCTGTATAAGTTAATGACAACAATGATGTTGGAAATATGTACTGCAACGACGACATTCTTCTACTACTTCCAACATGAATCTTCCTTGAAATCTTCGTTATCAGCTCCTCAAGAGTTATGTTTCTCTTGAATGATATTTTAACACGCTCATTTGATAAGAAAACAACGCCGGTTTCATCATCTCGAATTTTACCATCATAATAAACAATAGCTGAAAGTCGTGTCATTCTTTGAGTTTAAAAGTGCGACAATATTATATCTGCAAAAAAAATAACTGAAACAAAACTGATTAAATAAATTATATATGAACGAAAATATAACACAATAATTTTTTTACACATCAACGTAAATAATTTAAATAATATAATTTTATATTATTACCTGCAACACAAAACTATTTCGATGTATGCTCCCGCTTTTCAATTTTACAAACATAAAAATTAATTGAAAATAATTAGTATAATATTTTTTCAAATAATGATAATAAACAATAAGTAAAATTAAAAAATTATAACAAAATTATCTTATAACGAAAAATCACACGAACTTCTAAATCAAATATGAGAAGATTACCAAAATTATTACTCGTTGACGGAATTGTTGTATTAATTTATAAGTTGAGAGGAGAGATGCGACGAGATGTGAGAAACTTAACCGGCGGAGGAGTGTATTTATAATCATATAAGACGCAGTACCTGCACCGCGCTATATGTAATTTTTCAGAAAAAAGATATAGCGCGGACCAGGGACCGCATTAAATATAATTACCCCTACGTGGCGTATAGCGCGGCCTCTGATCCGCGCTATACCCCTACGTGGCGTATAGCGCGGATCAGGGGGCGCACTATACCCCACGTGGCGCCAAATCAACATATAACGTGGTTCAGGGGCACGCTTTACTGCTACGGGTGTTAGATCGAAAAATATAATCTGACCGGTGTTAGATCGATAAATATACCGATCACCGATGATTTTTTGAGAAAAACACCTCATATTAATTCTTCACTCACATACACTCATATAATAAATAAATTACTAACAAATATATTTGACATTTGAAAAACAATAATTAACCGTAAAAAAGCATCTCAATAATATGTCGGTTAAAATATCTGATTCTGACGAATCCCGACCCAACTCGACCTATAGGGACGATTTCATTTTTTGGAAATTTTGAGGATCGGGCGGGGCGAGTTATATACTAAGTAAGTTCGGGGCAGGATAAGACAGGGTTTAAGGTAAAAAATCACCTACACGGCCTACTATAAAATATATAATATATTTAAGATTTTAAATATTTTTATTTTTATAATGTTAAAAAATATATTATTTAAATTATATAAAATATTGATATATTCGATTCAGATCGAGGTTGTAATCTAAAAATTAAAATTGAGAAAAAAGTTAAAAATTATTGAGACAGGAAATAATTAGATATTAATAAAAAATATTTTCGAATTGAGGTTGGGATGGTCAAAAATCCGGCTCGTGGCTCAATAGAATTTAGTTTCGATGATACAATGATTTTTTCAGATAAAATAACCTTTAAATAAAATGGGAGCTTCCATAGGAGCCTATCATATCTAACAGCTCATATTCAACCAACGGCTATCATATCTAACGGCTCAATTTCAACTAACGCTATCATATCTAACGGGGATCTCTTGCTGCTTCGTTATTTTTGAATTCCCCCCCCCCGGTATGTTGCATTTATTAATGTCACGGTGTTTCTTTTTATTCACCGCCTTTTCTTTCTTTCTTATCTTCGAGGAACAATTTCAAGTCCAAAAAAACGCTCTTTTGCCTTGCCTTAATCCATCTATTCCTATCCCCAAATCAATTCTCTTTCCAAAATTATACCCAAAAAGCCTTCCCACTTTCTCTCTACTTCAACTCTTCCCATTTCCATTGGATCGATTGCTTCGTCACCATCTTCTTCTCTCGTTAGGGTTTTGTTTCTTTTCTTTCGGGGTGCTGTTTTCCTTCAACGAAAGGGAATCTTTTGCTGCTTCGTTATTTTTAATTTTTTTTCTCGGTATGGACAATGAAGTTTGCGATAATAGTGGTATGTTGCATTCGTTAATGTCGTATTATTGTATTGAACAATGCCTGGTGTTTTTGGGTTTCTTTTTCTTCACCCCCTTTCTTTCTTTCATTTTTTGATTCGAATTGGAATATTGGGTAATGGGTGCATTTTTTTGGGGTTGGGGTAAAATGAGGAAGGAGGGTTTAGGGTTTAATTGGGGTCATTGGCTATTTGTTCAATGTTATCAGGGAAATGATTTCTCACGCTTTTCCTTTCAGGGGTTTGTTTGTTTTCATCTTTTAGGTTTTATTTCCAAGCGTTTCTTTGAATTTTAATCGTGATTCAGAGAGAGAGAGAGAGAGAGAGAGAGAAATCTATTATATTAAAACATTACAAATTTTCTCTGTTTGAAAGAAAAGTTCATTTTCTTTCACTCTTCATTGTTCAATTACTTTTTCATAATGCGCTAGATATTTAGTTGGTTGATACAATGGATTTTTCCATAACATGCTATATATATATTCTCTTCTGTGTTGCCCATGGTTTTAGTCATTGTTTTTGTCTCTTGTTGTTCTTTATTTTTGTTTTCAGGGACTGGTCTTTCTAAAAAGGATTGTGGTGAGTTACGGGAAAGATGCTTTTCTCTTCTTTTGGAGCTGCTACAGGTAATGCTATGTCCCTGAGAAAATAATTGCTATGTCCGTGCTGGTGACATGAGGTCTGTGTTTTTTTGGATAAGTTGAGGTAGCTACACTAATCAATTTTTGACTTTTGAATTTGTCTATCCTCTTTTAATTAGTCAAAGAATTCTATAATTGTGATAAAGGGGTTCATTGAAATATCATGGAAGAAGTGATTCAGTTTTTTTAAACACATCACAAGGTAATGTCAGGTCTATTGATCTACAATCTGCATCTTCTTCTTCATCCTTTTTTTCACCTTGGTTTTCTCCACCATGCAGCTGTATGTGTTTTTGTTTTATAGTTCTTAACATCCTAAGTTGTGAAAAACAACATGGTCTAGTTTGTTTTAGGTTGATCAGTATTTATTTATACATATTAGCAGATGATAAGTTGTCCATTTCGACAAAGCAACTCATTGAAATGCTGGTTTACGGAGTTTACTCTTTTGGTGGACAGAGATTATTGTTCCTCTTCCTATAATATGTTTTCAGCTCGTTGAAAATGATAACTGGCTTTAGCTTTTTGTCTGCTTTGTGCTTATGCTTGCTTTGGCACTTGTCCGTATTTACCTAGTTAAATAGCAGCTTCAGTAGTCTAATGTCAAATTTCTGATCTATATACCTTTTTTCGATTACATCCACCTTTCATTCAATATGAATCTTGTCTTTTGGGGTTTCTGGAGCTGTTAAAATCGTTGCCGCTGATTATTTGGTTGATCTACTTTAAAAATAAAATTTGGGTTTGAAGGGGCCGTTTTTTTGCTAGTTAATATGTATTTGTGTATGTTTCATCATTGCTATGCATTGTATTGTTTGATGCAGGACAAGTACAAAGTATATAATCTTTGCTCTGAGAGGCTGTATGTTGCTTCATTGTTTGAAGGAAAGGTATGTTCTGGTTTGTTGGGGTAACTCACTATATGTTTCGACTTCCATTTGGTTGGACCTGTGGAGCAAATCAGAAAAATTAGCCACTAATTTCATCTTAAACTATTAGGCAATTGAATCCATTAAGAGTTGATGGGCAAGAGTGTTTCACTCAATGATGAAAATCAATTTTTGGCAGAAGATAATTATTAAGAAGAGTCAGTTCCACCTAATCTTTGACAAATCTTTATGAACATTTGTTTTCCTACTCGTTAATGCATAACAGCAAATGCAGCCTGTTAGAACTTACTGTGAGATGACCTATGTGAAATGAAATTATACATCTTATAGTTGATATCCATCTTTTTCTTCAGGTGGCTAGTTTCTCATTTGATATCCTTTTGTCAAAGTGCTTACTCCAGGCTGAAGGAGGATATTGAGAATGTTGTGGTTGTGCACTGTAAAGCTGAGATGGTAAGGACAGGGTTGATGATCTCTAACCTTCTATACTTGAAGGTTCGACCCAATGAACATGTTCTTGAAGAAATACGAGTGAATTTAATATAGCTACACATCATTGTTGGTTTTTTTCTTTAACTAGTTATCTCTTTGTAGTTCTTCCCCACTGCTGAAGAGAATGGACTACTACAACTAGAAAAGACGTGTGGATCGGAAGGAGCTTGTTTTGCCAAATCAAATTGTGAGCAATTGATTTCTAGTGATTTTTCAGGTTGGTTTTTGGGAGCTACTTATATCATATCTGATTGTCATATATTTTGGTTTATGATCTCTAGAGATACGTCAAGTACTTTGAAGCACCTTAACATACATCAATGGTAAAGATCAGTCTGGGCGCATGTATTCTTCTGGCAAGATGGCCTGTGATAGTGGGAACCACGGTATTCTATTTTTTTAAAGTTTTTTTTTAATTTTTTATTCTAATGCCTATTTATAATCATACCCTGGATTGATAGAAGTTGTGAGTACCTACCATTTATTCACTTTTAGAGTATATGTGCTTATTTTTTGTTTCATTTTGCTGTCAACAAGGCTAGTAACACGGAAGTAATAATTATCTTGGATAAAATTCTATTTTGTAGAAGTATTCGGTATCTTGGACAAAATATTTGTTCATTAGTTTTCCCAGGCGATGATGTATTAAGATCTGTTGAATCAGCATCTGTTGATGTTAGCGGGATTATTAAAGTGGGTTAAATTCTATATCAATTTATTTAGACAAGTGGTCTGATTTTATTAGATATGCCTCTTGGAATGGAAATATATATGATTTTTTTGTGTGGAAATATATGGTTTATGCATCAGCTGTTGCTCCGGTTTGAAGTTCAAATCCTTCTTATTTATTATCATGCATCAAACTAAGCAAGAAATATTCTACATACCTCCCCTTCCACATTCCCTTCAATTTTGGCTCTCTTTTATTTTTCTTTTTTGATTGGAGTAGCAAAAATATTGTTTATACCTTTTTTAAACCTGAGAAATTTACTATGTTTCAAAAATTAATTATATATGTATTTATAAACGTGTATATATGTAAAATCTAGGTAAAATTTTCAGAGAAGGTTCTTCTACATCTTATAGTATTCATTGGAGCATGCTTATGATGTGTGGATGTCATATTGCTTACAAAGAAAATAATTCATGGGGATTTTCTCTTATTCCGTGAGTGGCTTTTAAAATTTTCACATTTCATGGTCCGGGTAAGCTTTTCTATGTTTAAGTCATTGGCTTTTTGCTCAGAACTTTAAGCATTTTTCTTTCTTTTATGAAATTTTCTGGTTTTTTAACATTGTTTGTTTGTTTCTAAAATATTTAGGCAACGATCGTGTTCTCTTTGAGGTGTATTAATTTTCAACACATATTATGCGGTACAGTCCTCTGTATATAGTGGATTATAAAAACTATGTTGGAATCCCTCATTTGCAAAAGACATTCTCTTCAATGGAGGTACTTTGTTTTTCCTTTTAGAGATATCTTCCAATTTATCAAGTTCTTCTATATAATTTATTGGATTGTTGATCTTGCTCATCTTTAAGTATTTAATGGTGTATTTCCAATTCATGTGCCAACATGCTTATATTTTGTTTATGTTTGTTCTGTGGACACCCTATGATAAGATAGTATGCCATCTTGTCCTGATAAAAAAAGGATAGTTAAATGAAGAAGGCATTATGGATGCTTTTATGGTACAATGCCATATCCATCTAAATAGTCGGACGAAAGATGCAACATATTATTGAATATTGAATTATTTCATTCAAAATGTTGATATGCCAAAACCATTTCAGATAATTGAAATCTTGTTGCAATTTCTTTTTTATTTTATTTTATTTTATATATTTGCCTCCATTGTCTTCACTTCTGTGTGGTCAATTATTGTCCTTCACAAGTATCATTGGTGCATGTCTGTACAAGTGTTAATGGATATGAATTTTGCATATATTATTGAAAAGCAGTATTTAAGCCATTTAGTTTTAGTTTCCAAGTTGCCGTTTAAAAATTGTCTGAACATAGTAGTCAATGATATTGTGAAAACAATCTTTAAGTAGCCTTTTCCTATTCTATATCAAATCATCTTTTCGTATGTGGAATGCATCTTGCAATTACATAATGCTGATCTGTCACAGTAGTTTGTTCCATTCTTATTCTTGTTCTTGAAAAAGAAAGAAAGAAGATGCAACTACAAGCTATAAGGCTTTGTCTTGTTCCTGTTGAGGTAATATTATAACTTGCTTATGTTGCTCTTTGCGTATTTCATGAATAGAACTGATCACTTAACATAGGCATTAACAATTTTAGGTACTTGGTAATGATTTTTCAGCGAACCAACTCTAATTAATTATTTATCCTTTTTGGCAGGTTTTAGAATATCTTAAAGAAAGCTCTGTTTTATTTTTGGATATCATGTTCTGTATATCCATTAACTATACCCGAATAAAACAAGCATCTATGAAAAACAGGTATGATTTCAAGTATTTAGGTTGTACCACTGGTTACATTTTACACTAGTTTGATATTCATGAGGCGCCTCTCTACCATTAGCCATCTGTTGGAAGTATGATTGTTCAAAAATTGCTTGGTAGCACCAAGAATGCATCTGAATATAAATAGGATACTTGGGTATATTATGTACTCTTAACGTCTTATCTTTTCCATTTGGTGAATTGAGATTTTCTTGAGTTTCACGGAAACTAATTTAAGTCTGAACTCTGACATTTTCATGGAATCCGATTTTATGGTATTAGTTTTTATTTTTTTTAAAAGTTCGCATTACTTTTGATGAAATGCATACTTAGCCTATGTTCTGAAAATAATAATTCTCTTCTTTGCGTGATGATTGCATGTGCAGTTGTACAGAGATCCTAATAACTGATGTATCTCCACCTTATATTGGCATGCTCGTCTTAAAATTACCTAGTTTGAATAACGTGCATCTATTTGACACGCCTGCTTCAACAAGGCCCTCTTGACTTTTGCATCTCATTAGCAGCTGTCCATATTATAGCCATCCAGAAACTTCCATGCCAAATCGTTTTGTTTTTTTATTTTTTGTATTTCAGTACAAAATGTGTCTTGTTTTCCCTTTTTTTTTCTATATTAAATAAACTGTTACTATTATTTTTCATGTTTGCTCGGTTGTCAAAGAGAAGCATGCAGGGCTTTTGGGATCATATGGTGTTCAAATCAATCACTTCCATAATGAATTCTGGTTTGCTAAAGCAGCTTGACTTTGATGATTTGCTTTTGCTGTCGGCTGATATGGATCCTTCTACATGTCATGATAAATTATTAAGTTGCTGGAAAGATCAGCAAAATAATTCTTGCTGAAATGCATCATTATTTAGAGCAATCTTCTATGCTTATGGATGGCCATATCTTCGTCTAGGTTTATTCAAGGTATTTTTACTCTTGAAGACTGCTTGAGATGACATATGGAAGTTCTCTATGCTTCAATGAAAAAAAGAAAAAGAGAAAAAAAAATAAAGAAAGTACAAGCTTGTTTGTTTTTTTTGTTGATAAAATAAGGCCTTATTAAAAACCCCCTTCTTATCCTACATGTTACAAACATAACATGAAGGACATTGGAAGGAGGAAAAGAGTGCCTCTAACTTTTTTTAATTAGAATAATAATACACCTCCACACCTCAACAACTAACAACTTCTTACAAAACAGAAAACCATAAATCTGAAAACATAACACACCCTGATACTCCCTAAATAAGAACAACCAAGGCATAACACCTTAACCATTACACAAACCTAAAAATCAGCCTATACCAGCTTTAGCTAATTCATCCGCTTCCCAATTTGCTGCTCTCGAGATGAGCCTTGTGATAATACCCTTCCTCTCCACAGTAGAAGCTATATCCCTTACCAAGGATTGAAACAAAGTAGTACTAAGGTTCGGATTATTAATCCACTTCAGAGCATTGGAAGAATCCGATTCCAAAATGATCCTCTGATTTGAAAAGAAATCAGCTTCAACTTCCTCAATAAGAATCAACCCTCTATTGATCGCCAAAAGCTCTGCGAGTAAGGGAGGACCTCCCCCTACCTTCTTTGAAAATGACCCAAGCATCAACCCACTGCCATCCCTAATCAAGCCTCCTATTCCACCCTTATCCCAACCTTTGACCATTGCACCATCTACATTTACTTTTATGAACCCTTCCGGAGGAGGACTCCACCTAGAAGAAGGAAGATTGACATGTTGATCTGCTAGTTTTAAATCCCCCATCAAGGAATCGAAATGAAAATGAACATCCTTAACTGATGTTTCAAACCAAGAAACAGTTCTGAAACGTGAAATGAAGAACAACAATGCTGAATCTACCTTCCCATTATGAAAAATCACCTCATTCCTACATTTCCAAACAGACCACAACACTGCTCTTGAAATAAACTTCCATATATGAGATCGCGGCACTAGGTCATCCCAGGCAATTAAGAAATTCATCAACGAACCAGGAACCACAAAGAAAACATTCCATAACTTTAAAAACTTAGCCCACAAAACCCATACCACTTCACAGTGAAAAACAAACGAGAGACCGACTCATTGTACTTCTTGCACATAGGGCAGACAGAGTCTTCAACCCCAGTAACTCCTCTCTTCAGCAGTTCCTCTTTCATCGCAACTCTATGATGAGCAAGTTGCCAAACAAAAGATTCCACACGTGGTGGAGCTACTCCTTTCCAAACATACCTTTCCCAATTACTTTCTAATTGATCAATACCCTCTCTATCAAAATAAGTTTTCATGCATGATTTTTCTGTAAAACAACCCTCCATTTCCCAACCAAATCCAACAACCTTCCTCTACTAGCGACAAAGAAGAGCTATTCAACAGAGAGATAATTTGTAGCCACTGCTCAACCTCCCAATCCACCAAATTCCTTCTCATTTGAATATCCCAAACCCAACCCGAATCATTGTACAATCTGAATTCTACAACCTTACCCTCTTTGTTATTCGAAAGAGCAAATAACCTTGGAAACCTATCTTTTAGAGGAACCGAACTCAACCAAACATCATGCCAAAACTGAACAGTTTCTCCATTTCCAGCTCTAACACACAAATTTCTCCTAAAACAGTCCCCAAATGCATCACTTGAAAAGAAGTTCTTAACAACTCCTTTCCAAATCCAAGAAGTACGAGCTGTCCAAGTATTCCGGATCATCAATGAATTAGGATCCATATTGTAAACACAACACACAACTGATTTCCACCAAGAATTTTTCTCTGCAGCAAATTTCCACACCTATTTTCCCATAAGAGCCCTGTTTAATAGCAACAGATTTGGAATCCCTAAACCCCCAACTTCTTTGGCTTACACACCAAATCCCACTTGATCCAATGAATGTTCTTTTTATCT